GTGGGGGGGGGGGTGTTTGGATAGGGGTGGTACACCACACACAAGAGGCTCTACTGTTTCGTAGCTTAAACAAAAATAGAAGAAAAATAAGGTTCCTTATGCAAAATTCTTAAAAGCTTTTCAGCATAATTCTTCAAATGTGCAAATATATGGTCTCCTAACAAAAACCACTAACAGATTTCATTCAATAAGCAACCAAATCAAAAGAACTAACCAGGTCAGGCAAATGTGAGCCTATTGCAACAAGTACGCCTGCTGCAGCCCTTTGCCAGTCTGCATTAAGTTCCTACACCAAGATAAAGCGGAAAACAACAATTAGAATGAGGTGATTCATGAGGGGAGGGAGGAAACTAAAAAATATATTACAAATAAGGTGTGGGTCAATATGACATAAAAATAAAGCTTGTATCACAATAACTGAAGAATTAAACCAGAATATTGTCATTCACAAATAAGACTTAAAACTTGATATCAGCAGAATTTATTTTACTGGATCTCCAAAAACTGAACACAGTCAAGCTTATTAAGTCTTTGAAGGCATATTTGATCGACAACAGAATGCTACGTTGATTTATCTTTTCAGTTGATTTAGAAAAGAAACAAAGGTCAGACGTTCTAGCATACATAACAAAATCAAAACAATTAAGCGGTCCCCAAAATATGACTTAACTGACCAAGATTAAATGATTGTACCTTCGATGAGATGACCTCAGAAGTGGCAATCTTGGCAATCTTGGCCATATAATCGGGGTCAACTTCTCGTTTGTCTAAACCTCTGATTGCACCTGACATCACTTGAAAAACAGCAGCCATATTCCCAAAACGCTAAAAATACAAGAAGGAAAAACCCCATTTACACTCCAGTAATTGTATACACATATAGAGAGAAAGAGAAAGAAGAAAGAGGAAGTAGTACTCGACGGCCTCCTCGGGAGACATTGGAGCAACAATCAAGAACCAAAAGTGGGTTTCTGAAATTGCAAAGAATTTACCCAATTAAACTCAAGACATATGTAATACACAAAATCATTCATATAAAAATAAGAAAAAGCAGTGGACGGAGAAAAAGATGGCGATACAGTGAAGTGATATCCTTGAGAGAAGCTATGGAGGCTTCTCTAACAATTGGAGACTCATCTGCCAATAACGAAACCAGAACTTCAACTGCCCCTGGAATATAAATTGATATCCAATGTAAGAAGAAAGAAGCTGAAAGAATCATTCCGTGTACATAAAGATACACAAAAACATATGCAAATCGTGAATTCTGGATACCTGGAGCAGGTATAGAGTTGCCGGAGCTTGAAGATGCCATGAGTGAGAGAGAGAGAGAGAGCACCGATTCGAAAAACAGAAGCAGGAATTGGAAAGAGGAAGAAGAATACGAAGGCAAAGACAACGCGCCGAGACAGCGCAATTGCCAGCTGGGTTTTTGATGACACAGATTTGGGGGTGAGAATGACCGTTAATATATTTTTTAATTAATTTGATTAAAAAATATTATTTTTTATTTACTATTACTAATCTAATTTATCATAATTATTAAATTAATTATGAATCCTAACTAATGGTTAAATAATACATTGCCAAATTAACAGCAAATAGTGAGCATCAAATAATTAAAAAAAAATTAAATTAACAGCCAAATTAAGAAAATTTAAAGCGAATAAGGTAGAAATCCTAGTTTTTTATAATATTATATTATTTGATGTGCGGTTAAATAATACTATTTTTCCTTTATTTTAAATATATCGTAGGATTAGGAAACTTACTATTTAATAAATGAGTGGAATTCAAATAATTACATATACAATTCATTAATCCAAAATATATTATATTTAAAAATATTGACCTAGATTTTAAACATGAGTCTAAATTTGAGTTTAAACCTGAACAAAAGTTTCAACTCGATTCGTTTAATCTTACAATCTCAACTAAGTCAAACTAATGTTTGGAGAAAAAATTAACTAATCGAGTTTAAAGATGGTGTTAGAAACTTGTCATAATCTAAATCAGTCTCCAGCACTTTTTTAACAATGAATGAGTCAATCCTGAATAGTTTAGGGCTAAGCTCGGTTTTACAGTTTTATATTTGAGCATCAACTTCAGAACCCTTATTAGGATAAGTTTTTAAGGGAAAGTGTGTATGTTTGTTCTTCTAAAGTACTCCTTCATTGCCCAACTATTTGATTAATTAAAAAAATCTGTGTTCTTTGTTTTTTAAAAAAAAAAAAACTGATTTACTATAGACCACGCAAAAAGAGATCGAAGAAAATAGAAAAAAAAAAAAAAGTAATTTCATTAGTGTTCGGCATTAATCATTTGAATGAAATCTCACCAACAGTTTGTCATTAGGAAACATCCAAAAAAAACAACAGAATTTATAATCTCATCCCATGACTTTCGCTTATTTTAAATTGCGGACGTGTCAATGTTCGAACAGACATGATGATTCCAAGAGTTTTTTTATCATACTCATATCTATAAGAATTTTATTTCTCAAAATCGGCCCCTTTTAAATTTATTTCTCAAACTAATGTCATATCAATTGACGTCTTCATGGTAAAAAACATCATTCCTAATTATGCTTTGAACCTCAAGAATATTCTTCAAGCGTGAGATATATTTACTCATAAAACGTCATTTAGAATGACACTTTTAAAGACATCATTCGAAATTATATCTTTCAACGGCTAATTTAAAGAGTAATCTAACAATGTGAGGTGTTGTAAAGTTGTCACTTGAAATGATGCCTTTAAAATCGTCATTTGATTACACATTTTATTTGTGATATTTAGTTTCATCATGTTTCAATTTTTTTTAACTAAAAATTTTTGTTTGTAATATTTAATTGCATCATGTTTTCAATTTTTTTAACTAAAAAATTTTGTTTAGATTCAGAACAATGCTTTAATTTCATTGAACAATGTCGTGTTTCCCAAAAAAAATTTACAACCCATGAACATACCAAAAAATACAACTTATGAAAAGTGATAATAAATTTATTACATGAGATTGTATAAAAAATTGTTTGTCAATAATGTGGTTGATATTCATAACAATATAGAACTTGACCACATATACATAAACTTAATGGAAAAAAAATGTCTGATACATCATCATTTAAATTTGAAAAATCAGAAAGTTCAATATAGGAAACAAATAACGAATTCTCTAAAATTACAATCTCGGCATAGACAAGATCAAAATGTTCAATTTTTGTATGCTCGATTACATACAAACAATATATGTCAAATAGGTGATGATAACAATATAATCATAAGGCATCCATAAATGATGGTTATTTTCGGATAAACATATTGTCAAACCAAGGAAGTACATGCTTTCAATTTATGCAACTTGTTAACATAAGCAAAAAAGTACAACATAAAGCATCCATCTGTTAACATAACCAATAAATTACATCCTGAAATGAAAGTAATACATTGTTAACATGAGTAAATTAGTATAACATAAATCATCAATCCTAGGTGCAACATAATCATACAAGTAAGATAACAACATCTATTACACACAACATATTTAAAGTGAATGACCCAAGTTGATTGGTTCTTTATTGGACAAGTTCAGCGTAATCAAGTCCTATCTGCAAAAAAATCCTGTAGTGTTTTACTTTGCGTCCTTCTATCGAAAAATTCATTTCATTACATATACGCGATGTTTTTGGACATCCTTTAAGTCCTCGGCCCAATGACTTATCATGGCATAATGTAGGGTCATGGATATCATCTTAGTAGTCTTGATGGTGTAGATGTTAAAGTTCAAGTGCTCAAGTTGACTCAAGTACATGGATGTTGAACACTAGACCTATTAAATGCTAAGAACTAACATGGCAATGCGAACATTACATGAGAACAAGACATTTTGTAAATTGCGAACTTCCATAAGTTCATGTATGTTCGTGTAACATCACACTTTCCTACGTTGCTCTGGTTGGGTCATATAAATTCGGTTGCTTCAGGCAAGAACTCCATACCCTTCTTTATGTAGCATAGTGCGTGCTCACGCTGCTCACAAAAGTATTTGGCGAGCCGATAGAATATAATTTTCACACTTGTTGTGATGGGAGGCATCCTTGCACCTTTTAGTGCACAATTAAACACATTGGAAACATTGGTTGTGGTAGTTCCATAACGACGGCCACCATCATAGACAAGTGTCCACTACTGTGCTAGAATCTTATTTAATCACGTCCACGCTTCGGGATTGGCTTATTTCACTTTTTCTATTTTCAAATTAAACTTGTGAATCTGATGTGATGTACCATCTTTCCACACTTGCTTTTTTAGGTATATGTCCCTAAAACTTGTGTTGAAATTGTTTTGTACATGCCTAAGATAGAAAATGATGATAAGTGTGTGGCTTATTCCACCCATAATCAACTTGTTTCACAACAGTGATTATACATTTATGTCGATCTGATATTAAACAGACTTTCTCTATTCGACACTACAAATCATGTAGATGATATATGAACCAACCCCAATTGTTACAATTCTCCTCATCTATAAATGCAACTGCAAGAGGAAATATTTGTTCTTAAGCGACAATACCAATAACAATCAGAAGCCTATGCTTGTACTAGTCATTCACAAATGTGGCATCAATACTGATTATAGGCTGACAATGAACAAATTCATCAATCAAAACTTTAAAAACCTAGAACACTTTTCCAAATATTACAAATGTAGGAGCACTAAGATTGTACTACCACCTTACAATCATGCTCGGGTTGTACTTCACAAGAGCACCCATAAACTTTGGTAACATGTTTTAAGAATAATCTCAATCACTGAAAAGCTTTGCTATAACCTTGTTCTTTGCATGCCACACGTTCTTGTACGTTATCAAATATTTGACATCTCATCATTTCTATGATAACAAGAATTGTTATTTCTAGTGTAACTCGAACAACACCCTCAATCCACTGGTATATAAAGCCCATATCAAGCTGATAGTGGTCCAAGTTCAACCTTGAGTAGAAACAAGTGTGAAGTCCTTTATACTTTGTGATCTCAAACATTTCACATTTTACCTTCAATGGCGCACGTAGCCTTCGCTTGTATCCACATTCTTCATGCATCTTGCACCTCAACACCTATCTCTTTTTGTTTGTATTCACAACAACATATTGTTGATGCATCTTCAATAATACAATTTCACTGTTATCTCCAACTCTTTTTTATTCCTAAACATGATAACCTTTGACAATTTAACTTTTGTTGGATCCCATATTTTTAATTTATGCAACTTGAAAAATATATCTACTTCATTCTGGGTCCCAAATTCAATGCTTTTGAAGAATGTGACTCGGGCTCATGTGTACGAACCTCATCTCAGGTCTCAACAGAATTATCAATCGTTATCATCAGACTCATTTGTCAATAATTCTTCTTGCACTTCTTCTTGTTCATAATCATTGTTGCAATCATTAGCACACATTCCTACATATGAAGGATTAGGATTTTGTTGAAATACCAATTCTTGGACAGGGTCTATTGTTGCCAACCCTATTCTCACCACAATCATATCAATCCCCTTGTTACCTATGATAGCACTTTGGTGTTGCTAAGATTAGCATTCGAGAAAAGTATTGGGCTATGTTTCTAACTGTGCATGTCTATATCGATTGTACTATTCTATACACTGCATCACCACCAGGGTGCAATAATCATCCATCATAGTAGAAGGTAGAATTGTTGGAATATATGGTTCTAGTGTGAGAAGTAAAGAGTATATACCGCCATCAAACCAACCTTGTTAACTTCCACCAATGTCATCGTACCTAACCTCTTTCTTCACGTACAAATCCACACTATTGACAACTTGATTGTCAAATACAACATCCAATATTGCCTCCACGTCATCATTGTCAACAATTTCTAATTTCATATATTTTGTCAAGTTGTGTCCTAATGTTGTAGGGAATCTACATATGACCTTTAAATTGTATTTATTTTTATTTATCCCTGTCATATCATGCAACCTATTCACTAATATTAAGTGACTTGTGTTATGCATTAACTTTATCATACGCTTATGAGCAATATTGTAGCATACACCCTCAGGATCATAAATAATATTACCACCATAATTAATCATCACAGATGCACATCTTCCAGCCATTTGTAGCAATCCTATAATAACGACATCAAAAATAATATTAGGTGTCTTTTAATAGTAGAACATCAATTATAGTTGAACTATGATTAAAGTTATTAATTTGTACTAAATAGAAGTGAATGACAATTTTGGCTTAATACCAATTTTGGCTTAAGTTGACTAGTTACCACC